CGGAGAGTCTCCCCACTTCGGGGTCCCGGGGGGGGGGGCTCCGAGCGGCCCCTCGCAGAGGCTCCACCCGCAGCCCAGTTAACCTCGCTGGGGGGGGGGGGGGGGGGGCTGCGTCCTGCTTATTCTCTGCAGCGGCTCGGGCCGACGGGGTGTGAGGGTCGTGGGTGTCCTTCCCTTCGGGCGTTCCTTGATGGGGCTGCTGTTGGCCTGGGGTGGGGGGTGGGGCTGCTTCCTCTGGGTCCTTCTGTGCCTTTTCCTTTCCTCCCCTGAAAGGGAGGCGGCTGGGTCTCCTGGTGGGAGCCCCTACCCCTCCTCCCTTGGCCAAGTGGGCTCCGGGTCTCCCGGCAGACAGCAGGGCTGTGGGATGCCTCTGCCAGGCCCAGATGTTTTTCACCCTTGCCTTTTGGTGGCTGGTCCCGGGGCAGGTGGAAGGGGGGGGGGGCTCCTGATAAAGGTGTGTGGGTTCCTGTTATCTTTCAACCAGTTGTGCAGGTCATCTGGTTTCCCTTGTTTTCTGGCGGTTGTGGGTTGCTGCTGCAGTGCCTTTGTGTTCATCTGAATAATGTCCTTACACACCCGCTTCCTTTTGTGGGTGGTTGAGTTTCTGCTTTGGCGATGGGGCTCTGGGTGAGTGTGGGTGGTTTTTCCGTAGGCTCCCTAATTTGTTCCCTCTGCTGATGAGGCCGCCCAGGAAGGGCTGCGTGTTGTTGTTTCCTTCTTCCTTGTGAATATTCTTCCTTTGAAGGTGCTCTTGATTGCTCCGTGCGTCTCCTCCGGTGGTTCTTCTCCATTAGGAGGAAGGCGCCACCTGCATACCGGCCTACATAGCTCCACAGCTGCGTATTTCTGTTTGCGTGGGGGGGGGGGGGGGGCAGCCAGGGTTTCTAGATGCTGAGAGTGGGCGTCTGGTCGGTTGGCATCTGCGTCCATCCGTCTGAAAGCAGGTCGTGAGGCGAAGGCTGGTCAGGTCCACGACTCCGGGCATCTCGAACTCAGGATGTGTAATGAGGTCAGGCGTGCAGTGCAGCCCTGTGGCTCCACGCAGGTGAAGAGGGCTGTGACGCCCCAGGAACCCTCATCTCAACTTCTTCTTGGCTCTTTCCTGGAGGCTTTGTGGGTAGAATATTCGCTCTCTCCTAGGAGGCGTCCAAGGCCAGTCGGTCAGTTCTGTGGCCGTGGGGCGTGTCTTGGGGTCGCTGGTCGCCAGACCGTTGGGTGGAAACCTAGGCCCAGTTTCTGTTTCGGGGGCATCCAGAGAAGCCGGGAAGGGAGACGAGTCCAGGGCTTTTCCTCTGTCGCTTCTTCCCCTCTGATGATTCGGCCTGTTTCGCTTAGTCTGCTGAGGGCTCCCTCCGTCAGCTGGTTCAGCTTCCACATTGGGTGTCTACTGGGACCCAAAGAGGGTCTCTGCCCTCCAGTAATTCTCTGGCTCTTTCTAAGCACTGCTGCGTTCTCTTCCTGCTGGGCCTGGTTGGACCTGGGTCTGCTGAGAGGATGGTGGTGGCCACCAAGGTGGCGCAGTGGTTAAATGCAGCACTGCAGGCTACTGCTAGATCAGCAGTTCGGCTGTTCAAATCTCACCGGCTCANGCCGGTGGCGACAGGGGAGTTTTATTTATTCTGATGGTGACGGTGATGTCTGGGTGACTCCCAGGGAAGGTTCCTGCCAAGGCCACCTGGAAAATGGGGCAGGGCGGGTGAGGATCTGGTCCCAGCCTGGACCCCCACCCGGCCGTGACTCCCAGGTGAGTAGATCCTCTGGGTCGGCAGGGGGGAGGCCTCCCAGGCCAAGCCTGCTCTGCCCCCCACCCCCCGGAGGAGTCTTCCCCCTGACGTCCCTCGGGCAGCCGTCATTCTCCCCCACCCACCCCCCTGCCTTCCCGGGGACCCCTGCCCGCCAGGCCCCGGCTCCTACCTCAGGGTCTGCAGGGCTTCGGGGGGCAGCCACTGCTGCCAGGCGTCGGCCATGGCGTCGTACAGCCAGGCGGAGGACTGGTTTCCAGGCATGTTGGGCGGGGGGAAGGCATTGACGGGCACCGACTCGTGGTTGCCCACCGCCGGGTAGACGGGCAGCGGCCCCAGGTACTTCTGGATGAGGCTGGTGACGGTGGTGAGGGCGTGCAGCTGGTCCTGGCGCGTCTGCTGCCAGACGTTGTGAGCCGGGATGTCGCCCGTCCAGTAAGCGGCATCGAAGGGCCCCGTGGAGGCCAAGTGCTGCAGCAGGTTCTCCAGGGTGTGGAGGGGCAGGTCGCATTTGCTGTAGGAGCCCCAGTAGCCGGCCCCGGGGCCCTGCGGCTCCCCCCCACGGCAGCAGAGGGGGTCTCTGCAGTCGGGGTCGCTGCCCGGGGTGTACTGCCGGTCCCAGTGCAGGTCCGTCAGGAAAAGCAGGCGGGCCGTGGGGGCGCCGGGCGGAGGGGGCACTGGGGGCCGCACAGGAGGCTTGGGGGTCTTGGGCAGGGTGACGTTCCAGTTGGAGTAGATGTCCCAGTGGCCGCACCGGGCGCCCACCAGCAGGCCGCAGATCTCAGCCGGGCGCAGGACGGAGCGGACCCAGGCGGTCACCAGGTCTTGTCCAAAGAGGCGGATGATCTCCTGACAGATCTCAGGGGGCGCCAGCTTCAGCGTCCTGCAGACCTTGACCGCCAGCTGCTGGATGTGCTCCACACTGGTCTCCAGCTGCCAAGCAGAGGGGGGGGGGTGTTAGCACCTGGGGGGTTGGGAGCCAGGACTGGAGAAGCACCCTGGAAATGTCCCGGCAGAGATTTAGATTTAGTTTATTTGTATGCCGCCCTTCTCCGGGAGGGACTCAGGGCGGCGAACAACTCGGAGGGGGAAAAAGGGAACATAGAACACAATACACGTGATTAAAATACACAAGAATCACACAGCCATACAGGTCGAGAGGGGAGGGGAACTCATCACCCCCAGGCCTGCCGGCACAGCCAGGTTTTGACGGCTTTCCGGAAGGCCTGGAGAGAGGTGAGGGTCCGAATATCCGCGGGGAGCTCGTTCCAAAGGGCCAGAGCTGCCACAGAGAAGGCCCCACCACGGGTGGTAGCCAGATGGCATTGGCTGGTGGACGGGACCCGGAGGAGGCCGACCCTGTGAGATCTAAGGAGAAGAGAACAGCGTAACGTGGGAA